TGACAGAGGTCAAACGTTTTCTTTAAGTCTTCACAAGGTTTTCACACACTGTTGCTGGTATTTTGGCCCATTCCTCCATGCAGATCTCCTCTAGAGCATTAATGTTTTGGGGCTGTCGCTGGGCAACACGGATTTTCAACTCCCTCCAAAGATTTTCTATGGGGTTGAGATCTGGAGACTGGCTAGGCCACTCCAGGACCTTGAAATGCTTCTTACGAAGCCACTCCTTCGTTGCCCGGGCGGTGTGTTTGGGATCATTGTCATGCTGAAAGACCCAGCCACGTTTCATCTTCAATGCCCTTGCTGATGGAAGGAGGTTTTCACTCAAAATCTCACGATACATGGCCCCATTCATTCTGTAGCGAATCAGCTCATAGGGAAATATGAGTAATTAAGCATAACTAGTTATAATTAACTATTCATATTTTAGATCCGCTGTAGATATTTAGCTGACCTCTCAGGGTCAACTGTCTTGTCAATTCCAAGAACGTTAATTTCCTGGTTAAGGGAAATAACTTTCTTACTGTACAATTCTACAAGCTTGTAACGTAAATCTGCATGATTAGTGACTCCGGTTATGAGCAAACAATGAACACGTCAAGTGTGATACAAGTAAGGGTTTATTAACTACATAAACACTTTATGATGAAAATTACAGGCCTCTCTCATCTTTTTAAGTGGGAGAACTTGCACAATTGGTGGCTGACTAAATACTTTTTTGCCCCACTGTATTTGGAACAATACTGGTAACCGAAAAAATAAATAACAAATTGGAGTCAATGGGGACCAGAAACTTTCTGGTTATAAACATTCTTCAAAATGTCTTCTGTTTTGTTGAGGAGAACAAAGAAATTCATACAGGTTTAGAACAACTTGAGGGTGATTAAATGATGACCGTATTTTCATTTTTGGGTGAAGATCATATAATGCCAGGATCTCATATTGCCTACAACTACACATGCTTTATCTTTAAAGGGGTCATATGATGCGATTTCAAGTTTTCCTTTCTCTTTGGAGTGTTACAAGCTCTTGGTGCATAAAGAAGATCTGTAAA